TTTGCGTCGTGACGCGGTATAATCAGACGTTCGTCAATTTCTGGGAAATTTGTGTCACGACGCAGTGGATCAAATGCTCGTCAATTATTGGGTTTATACAGGAGATTATATTGATATAATCTTAATTATCCGTTCTTTTCGCTTGCTTTTGATGAAAAACAAGCAAACAACTAATCTATCTTAAATAGGCGTTGAGATGCTTGTGATTGAAGGAGGTGGGAGTTACCTGGTATAAATTCGAGAAAATTGCAGACAGTTTGGTGACTTCCAAAGATTAAGTGTCCATAGATCAGAAAATGTTACATTTTTGTATGCCTTTGATCAACGTTCTTCATTAAAATACGCACTGAAATTTGTTTTTAAACACAACGTTACCTAAAAAGGGCTAACCCCCTCCCCCCCCCCCCCCCAAAAAAAAAGAAAGAGAAAAAAGGTTTTAAACAAAATAATAGAAAAAAAATTTATAATTGCTCAAACAGGCGAAAAAATGCCGGAAGGTTTCTTCGATTTCATTATTTTGACGAGAGTGATTTCCCACGATTAAACACAATATGTGAGGCAGCGTGGTGGAATCAGGCTCTCGTCAAAATAATCAAAGGGAAAAAATGCGCATTTTTATGCAGGTTTGTGAATTTTTATCAAATCTATGTTTTTTGGCCCAACGCCTTTCATGCCCATTAAAGAACTCATTTCTGTGTGGATTTTTCTGAAAAACGTTAATTAAAAGCCCCAAAAATGTAAAGTTTAGTTACCATCTACTCTCAAACTAAGGAAATAACTAATCTTTGGCGGCCATTTTCTCACAAATTTTACCTCTGAAAAAAGGTGATCCCCCACCTCCTTCTTTCGCAAATATCTCGACTTGTATTCAAGATAAATTGACATTTTTATCATCCAAATAATGACCAGTGAACAAGCTTTAAGATGATACCAATAACTTTACATACCCAAAAATTGACGAGAGCCTGATTCCACCACGTTGCCTCACATATTTCTTCCTTTTTTTTTTTTCTTTTCTTCCCCAGCTTTGATCGCCATTGTGTCTATGTTCATCTACGGCATGGTGTTTTTCCCTGTATTTGCATGCCTGGCTCTGGGAACGGCATTTTCCTACGCCCTGGGCACGCTGTATGTGTGGATGTTTTTTGCCATCGATGTCTACCGAACCACTGAGTGCGATCTCAATACGGTGAGTGAGGGGTTGGAGGGTGGCGCTTCTTTTTTTTTTTTCATGTAGTGTGTTGTTTCTGTCTGTCTTACACTCTCCTACAGTACTTCTAGTTTTCCCCCTTCACCTGAACGAGGTGAGTGGGTGGATGGAGGGTGTCACAGGCTGGTCAATGTCTCTACCAATCCTTCATGTACCGTTGTTGTTTCTGTCTGTCTTACTTTTCCCTACACCCTGGGCTCACTGTATGACAATGTGTGTGGGTTTTTTTGTGTTATTGATGTCTACCGAACGACTGAGTGCGATCTGAACCAGGTGAGTGGGTGGTTGGAGAGTGTCACATCTTTGCTTTCTTTCCTGTTGCTGTTTCTGTCTTTCTTACTTTCTCATAGTATACGATCTGGGCTTGCTCTATGGTTTGAGGGCGTCACTCGCTGGTATATTTTTATTTATTTTTCCATCAATGTATTGTTTCTGTCTATTTTACTTTCTTCTCTGCTTTGGGCTCGCTCTGTGTCTGGATGTTTTTGCTAGTGATGTCTTCCGAGTAAACTGAATGCGATCTCAACACGGTGAGTGGGTGGTTGGAACGTGTTCCTGGCTTGTATACTTCTTTATTTCCCTTCATTGTTCTTGTTTCTGTCTATGTTACTTTTCTGTATTGTTTCAGAAAGCTATTAAAAAATTTTTATTATGTTGTTGTGGGTGGTTGAAAAGTGACACTGGCTGGTTTATATTTTTTAATACTTTTTTTCATGTTGTTGTTTCTGTTTATCTATTTTCTCCTACTCTATTATACCTAAAGGTATAAATAAATATGTGAGGCAATGTGGTGGAATCAGGCTCTCGTCAAAATAACTAAAGTGAAGAAGCTTGCATTTTTCCGCAGGTTTGTGAATTTTTATCAAATTTTTGTTTTTTGGCTCAACACCTTTCATGCTCATTAAAGAACTCATTTCTGTGTGGACTTTTCTGAAAAACGTTGATGAAAGGCTAAAAAACCCGTAAATTTTCAGTTACCACGAACTTTTAAGCTAAGGAAGTAACTAATCTTTGGCGGCCATTTTCTCACTAATTTTACCTCTGAAAACAGGTGACCCCCACCTCCTTCTTTCTCAAATATCTCGACTTATATTCAAGATAACTGGACATTTTTTTCACCAAATAAAGACAAGTAAACAGGCTTTAATATGGAACCAATAACTCTATATGCCCAAAAATTGACGAGAGCCTGATTCCACCACGTTGCCTCACATATATAATCATATTCCAGGAAGGCCGACTGATCCTCATAGCCCGCAGTCTGCCCGGTATACTGTGTCTAGCCTACCTCAGTATCTCCATCCCCATTCGCTTCTGTATAGCGTGTCGGAAGCGGAAGTTCTTTACGGCTTCTATGGGCGAGGATCCGTACAAAGAGACGGTGGAACAGATCCAGAAATCCTACCAGGGAAAGCATGTGAGGGATTTGCTGGCTCCGCCTGTCGTTGAAGAGTGAGTACTCATTTGTAGAGAGAGTAATCATTGAAGATGGAGTACTCATTTGTAGAGAGAGTAATTATTGAACAGTGAGTACTCATTTGTAGAGAGAGTAATTATTGAACAATGAGTACTCATTTGTAGAGAGAGTAATCATTGAACAATGAGTACTCATTTGTAGAGAGAGTAATCATTGAACAATGAGTACTCATTTGTAGAGAGAGTAATCATTGAAGAGTGAGAACTCATTTGTAGGGAGAGTAATCATTGAAGAGAAAGTAATCATTGAAGAGAGAGTAATCATTGAAAGCGGAGTTGTCATTATGGAGTAAGTAATCTTTGGGGAGAGAGTAATCACTGTCAGTGATAAATCATAGAAGAGTTATAGTAATTATTAAAGACTGAGTAATTATTGAGTAATCACTGAATCATTAATGAGTGAGTTTTGATTTCAGAGTGAGTAATCTTTGGGGTGTGAGTTATCAAATATTTATCATTGAAGAGTTAGCAATCGTTGTGGAGTGAGTAATCAGTTATTAATCTTTGGAAAGTGAGTAATCACTATAGAATGAGTAGGAGTGGTTAATAATATTGAAGATTGAGTAATCAGTATTGAGTGAGTTAGAGTGAATAATAATTGAAGAGTGAGTGATCTGACTGATTTGAGGCAGTGGACAACTTGGCTTTATTAAACAATGATATGAATTAAAACAAAATGAAAATCAAAATAATTTTTAAATGATCAAGGTATGTAGTTTCGGTATTATACTAATTTCACTACCATTTCATGCCCAGTGTGTTGCCCTTTTTGGGGATTCATTTTTATCCTTTTGACACGAACGTGGGATTTATTATATTTTTCACAAATCAATAGTTTAAAAAATATATTAATTGATTGTTTTTATTCAAATTATATCACATTAAGATTAAATGCGTTGTAATTTCCA